TGGAAAAAAGAAATATGGCAGACAACGTCAATGAAGCTTCTCAGTGGAAAGAAAGTGAGGTTTTAGACCTAATTAGTATCTGGGGAGACAGTTCTATTCAAGYTAAGCTTGAAGGGTCGTATCGTAACCGAGCTGTTTTTGAAAGTACCTCGAAAGATATGATTGAGCGCGGGCACAAATGAACATGGCTACAGTGCCAGAGGAAAGTGAAGAGCCTCAAAGCTAAATTCACAAAAACAAAGGACTATAATAAACTAAGCAGCCGTGGTCGAATTACTTGTCCATTTTATGACGAGCTTGACCGTATTTTGGGAGACAAACCCAGTTGTCAGCCACTGGAACTGCTCGACAGCTCTGTTGATACGCCTGAAGAAGAGCAAGATGAGTTCACTGACGGAGCTAGTCCAGCTAGCAGCTTTAKCGACAATGGTGAGTGAACTTTTGTCGTCTTGTTGTAGCTATGATTAATGAAAGTACATTTTCAAATGAAATATGTATTACATCAAATGCGAAGTTATAAATAATCATTGTGTAAACAATCACAACATACTTGACTTAACCACCAGTAGTCTGAAAATGCTCACAAACCTAACATAAATTCTAGATTGGAGTCAGTGAAATTATAGTAACTGTGAATAAAGAATAAACTGCACTATAGGTTACCATGCATATGAAACATTATAATGTAATATTTGACATTATATTTGATATGTTTATGTACATCAGCTGATAAGACTCCTGCCTCGCTCCCTTGTGAGTCTGACTCTGGGGAAAGCTCCTCATCTGGACTGAGTGGAGATAAATCTGTGAAGGACAAGGCATCTGCCACATCCACTAGAGGTAAATAATCTGATGTTCATGTGTTGGTGGATGCTACTGTAAAATTATTACTGGTACATAATAGCATTTCCATACATTTTGTCTTTCTCTTTTATACAGCTACATCTGGCAGGAGCAGGAAACGAAAATCAAAAATGGAGGCAACACTTGAAGTTTTTGCAGAGAAGATTACCAGTGCATTGAAAGCAGATGACTCTGACCTCCTTTTAAAGATGCAAGCAGCTCGGCATGAGTATGATCTTAAAATGCTCTCTGTGTTAACTCAGTACATGGAGAGATCACAACACAGTCCACAGCCAMCTTTTGACCAGCCAGCAGTGCATCCTTCACACCTTTACAACCCCAGACAACCACCTCCTCTCCATACCKCTCTGTACCACATGGATTCATCTCAGTCCCAGCCATTTTATGAGACATCCAACCCGCCTCTGTCCTTCCTACAAGATTTAGCTCAACCACTACCTCTCAACATCAGTCCAGCACCTCCTTGCAATC